TTTAAATATTCTCCTTTATTCATGTTTTTTCTTAGAGCTCTTATTTTTGTAAATTGACAATTTTATAATTTTGGTTTTTTTTAGATAATCTCACATTTTAATTAAAGCAGATTGCCCAGGTGATGGTTTCAAATGTTGTTGCCTAGGACTTTTAGTTAAGCATGCAAAAAATAGTCCTAATTTGGGAGCATTAAATATTCCCCACTGAGGGGCCAAGTTATCTTTGGTTAGATCTCCCCATTTTTCCAAATTACTTGCAAGTTAAAAGCTCATAATTATCATACATAAAGCTGTTAGGGTCCATGACTCAGTGGGTCTCTTCTGGAGAACAATGCACGAGTATGGAGATGCAAGAATCAAGCAGAGTTTTATTAAACCAGCTAGCTAGGGCCGACTGTCCTTCCCAAAACACGCAGGTCTGGTCAGAGCGATCGACCCTGAGGCAATTTTAGGTAAAGATTATATAGGCTCCCACAACCGTTACACAAAAGCCCGTGTTTATACAGCCAATAGTTTCAAAGCAAGCATTTCACAAACCAATAACTTTAAAACAAGAAAAATGTTACAACTCCCTTCAGGTGTCTCAATCAGGGAGAGATCATTGGGTTGTGCCTGGTACGACTCTTTTCTGTTATCTTGTGTAAGCAGACATGCCTACAGACATGACACAGACCAGACAACTTGCCCCTATCTCCGGATGCCTGTGTCTCCAGCTGAGTTAATTGGTTACAAGCAGTAAATTCAAACAAGCAGTATATTCAAACAAGCAGTAAATTCCTCTTTCCCTAACAAAGCCAGCTATAGTGTCAGGTGTCAGTTTATCTTCAAACACTTCCTCTTTTATGGAAAATTTGTTTTCCATTTTATTAACTAATTTATTTCTTTTCTCCTGAAAAATTGCAGCATTTCTATGGTAGCTGGGGAGTATGTATTTTGGATCTTGTTTATGTGCTGCTTTTTGGGATGGTCTTTCTCAGCTTTCACACTGAGACCGTCTTCTCCCACTAGGTCTCGGGGTTTCCTGCAGGCTGTCGGAAACGTGAGGGTGCTCAAGACACTGAGTGATCAACCCTTATGTGTGTCTTCCCGGGCGAGCTAATAAAGTTCCTTCTGACCCAGGAACAGGGTATGTTTATGGGTTCCCTTATGAGGCCGTTACTCATCCTGGGGAGTTCCCCCGACACCTCTACTCTGCAAGAGCAGAGGGAACAAGGCCTCTTGTCTTCGGTGGCTTTATGATCAGGCACTCATAATATTCCTAAGCTGAAGGCATCAAGTTGGCAAAAAGCTGGACGAAATCACATAAAAAAACAAAAATGCAAATTTAGGTACTGGAGGAGTGTCTAGAGACAAAGGCAAACTAAATAAAAACATCAAAAACAAACAACCACCACAGACAACAAACAAAAAACAAAATGCCTTCAAAGTCCTAGAAGCCACCAATATTAAAACAAGCCAAGTATTCAGAAACAAATTTCTTCTGAAGCAAACAAAAAAACAAAAACGGATACTTTAAAGCAAACACTTTAAAAGCACACAAGCAAACAAATATCTAAAGAAATAGGTACCTTAAAATTGGCAGACTACCTTAAGTTGGATTTTTACATTTTCTTATATTTGTGAGCTAAAGCAACATACTAATCAACCCTAAAACCAGCCAGAATACAAAATACCTGTTTTCCTCAAAACATTTCTCCATTCCTTGAATTAGATATGGGAGAAGTGTTCAGAGAAAAAGAAAGAAAGAGAAAGAAAAAAAAATTACCACTAGCAAATTTTAACAAATGGTCAGTAACAAAAAAAAAAACAACAAAAAAACAAAAACAAACAATGTTGAAACCAAAATTCTTTCAAAGCAAACAAGCAAAATAGATACCTAAAACAGACACTGTGAGAGCAAACCAAAAACAATACAGGTATCTAATAAATAGGAAAAGGATAAACAACGAGCTCAGAATAAACAAATGGACCATTGACCACAAACCAAGGGAGGTCTGAGAGCCCCAGAAAGAACTCACCAGGATCCATCTGAGGAGACATCGTCAGATGGCTAGACTCAATGGATCTATGCTAGTACCTGCTCCATCCAGGTGACTTCTCTGATGAAAAGTGGATAATTCTTGGGGCCCCACTTTGGGCTCCATAAACTGTCAACGCAAAAGCATAACTCTCACCTCAAAGGGGATAAGAGATAGTTTATTCTGGAGCCAAATATGAGTGCCCATAGCCCTGGAACACAGATACAGGTTACCCCAAATTCCATGTTCCAGCATGGTAACAGTTGCCTTACTGTTTTTTTGTTTTTTGTTTTTGTTTTTGTTTTTGTTTTTTTTTTGTCTTTTTGAAGCAGGGTCTGGTCTCTCTGTAGTCCCAGCTGTCCTGGAACTCACTATGTAGACCAGGCTGGTCTTGAACTCACAGACATCCTCCTGCCTCTGCCTACCAAGTGCTGGGACTACAGGCATACTCCAGAACAAAGTTACAAATCAAGACATTTTTCGAATATATTGGAGGATACATTAAGTAAGTGGGTTGCAGTAAAGCAAGGGGTTTTTTACTATAGGCCTCAGATGCTATCTGATGACATTCTTAGCCTTTTGTTTGGTGAGACTGGGTGGTGTGCTAGGATAATACATTCTAAAAGGTTTTTTATCTGTTAGTCACAGGATGTTAGATCAGAAATAGAGGTGGGTAAGGAGTAGTTGTTTAGGAGGCTAAAGAGGGCCCAAGATAAATGGTAATTAGACTCTGGACCTGCAACATTCCAAATTCTCCATAGTCTCTGGAGTGATAATCAGTTGGTCAGCCTTGTAGGACGTTCAGTCCAAGGTGCAGGAGTTCTTTTTGGGAACTATTCTTTCACAATGCCTTTACTCCCTAAACCATTTCATTGGTTCCAAAAGTGTCCAAGTTCTCCTCTATAAAATCTTGTCTGCCTGTCCCAAGGAGATACTAGGAAACAGATATCTTAAATAATGGAAGGCTACCTGGTACACCCCTTTAATCCCTGCACTCAGGAGGCAGAGCCATGTGGATCTGTGTGAGTGCCTGCCTGTTGTACATAGTGAATTCCTGGCCAGCTGGGGCTATAGGGAAACCCTGCCTCAAAATAAATAAATAAATAATAAATAAATAAAAAATAAATAAATAATGGAAGGCTGTAGGAATGACTTACGATATTGACAGAATCTAGGCTATTGACTTTTATTTAACCTTGCACCAAAAAGCTACTGTTTGTAATGCAAACAAGTTCGATAAACTATGTTTTCTTATGATCTGGGCACCTGACCTTAATCCCTCAGAACCCCACTTTCCCCTCCACCCAAGGAGGTGAATGAATGTAGGGTATGGTATTCTTACTGAAAACAGTAAGAATAGAGAAGTATGCTTGACATTGTGTATATGAGATACTTTAGGCCTAGGGAAAAAAGGGAATGATTCTCTATAATATAGGGGTGGATCCTAGCTCTCCTCCTCAATTAACATTCAAAATACTGTTTGAATAAAAGTATGGGTGAGGTGCCAGGTATGGTGGCACACTAATCCCAGCACTTTGGCGGCAGAGGCAGGCAGATCTCTCTGAGTTCAAGGCCAATCTGGTCTACATAGCAAGTTCCAGGCCAGCTAGGGCTACAGGGAGACCCTGTCTCAAAAAGACCAAAAAAATAAAAATAAAAAAAAGAAAGTATAGGTGAGACCTGGTTTGGGAGCACAGATCTGTAAGAGATCTGAAGAACAAACTCAGAGTTCCACTCCACTCTCAAAGCTAACACTAAGAGTCAAGCTATTTATTTATTGAAGTATAAGTCTAAGGTGACATGGTAATGTCTTTGAACAGAGAGGCAGTAGAAGAACTGGGAACCAAACCTCTTGATTCTTGAAGGCAGGTTGTGCTTAGTTCATCCTTGTGTGTGTTCTACAACATTCATCCATTTGCAAGTCAGTTTTCTTGCCATTTCCTTCCCTCATAGTCTTTTTAATCAACTTTTTCTATAACTTGACCAATATGTATAACAAAATAGAAAAATAAACTTCTTTCAGCTCTATTCCCATATCAGGGAGAATATAAATATTAGATAATATAGGATTCTTTCACCAAACAGGGTAATTGGCATAAGTATTATTCTGTTTTTTTCAGTTAAACATTATTCAACTTTCCCAAATTTCTGCTTTTAATATCAAGACTTTCCTGGAAGCAAAAGAGAAGGAAGAAAACTGTATTTGAAAATTTCAAGCCACTTCCTCCTCATTTAGATCCATATGTAAAGATCACTTCCTCTTTTAGGTCACACCATTGAAGTCTGTCTTCATTTTGTTTTTGTTTAAATAACAGCTCTTATGGTTTATGAGTCTGATAAGGGATCAGAGGTTGATTTGTATTGGAGTGCTGGCTTCGGCAGCATTTTGGCTATTGGATATGTGAGCCTATATACAGCTGCCATTTGAATCATTTTTGTTCTGTTTCTAGGGTTGTGGTCATGGCTTTGCTTAATGGTCATTAATGTGTTTCTTGATCATACTCTGAAACTGAGAAAAATATTTGACAGTAGTTACTTTTCTCTACTTTGATTACTTGAAGCCAAAACAAAAAGGCTTTTCTTCTCATGACTTGCAGATGTGATGGTTTCTGACAAGTTGACTGCAGGACAAAAATCTCTGGAGAGCATGGCACCTCCATCTGTGGCTGCTGAACTGTTTCTGTGGGTTCTGTGGTCCTATGGACACAGTGACTATTTGGAGTGTATGCTTACACTGTGAGCTTAGCTTCTTTGTGTTAGTCTCACACCCTTCCCACCATGCATGGGAGAGCTCAGCAGGCTGGACACAGGACCAGCTGTGCTTGACCAGTTGATGAGAATTAATTGGAGAATGTTCTGGCAAGCAGCTCATTTAAGTTGATTTCAGTTACATTGGATTTCTCTATTCTTACAACTTGCTATTTTCATTGTGTAATTAAAACCTTTATCCTTTATACTAAATGTGGTAATATCTTCATATAGGAGAAAATCTACAGAAGGTACCAGACATTACCTGGAATTTGAGGAATTAACTGTGAGCCAGCTCCTGCTTTGCCTAAGGGAAGAAAACCAGAAAGTGGAAAAACTTGAAATCGCACTTAAAAAAGCTAAAGAAAGGTATGATATATTTAACGTGAAAGAGTAATGGCTTTATTAAAATGGAATTAAGATACTGCATGGATCACCCATTTAAAGTATACATTCCAATGTTTGCCATAATACAGTTTTAGAATACTTTTTTCCAAAGTAAGAAATCAATCAATACCTGTTAATATTCACTGCCCACTCTTCCTAGTAATTGACTTTCTGTCTTTGGCGATTTGCCCATACTGGACATTCATGTAAATGAAATAATACAACATATGGTCTTCTGTGACTGACTTCTTTTACCCACCATAGTGGAACTTTTTAAGTTTTTTGTTTGGTTTTATTTGTTTTTTTTGTCTTTTTGAGGCAGAGTCTCCCTATAGCCCAGACTGGCCTTGATCTCATAGAGTTCTATCTGCTTCTGCCTCCCGTGTGCTGGGATTTAAAGGCATGCGCCACCATGCCCAGCCCAGCATAGTGTTGTTGCTGTTGTTCTCTCCCATTGAGAGGGTTTAAGTCCAATTAGATATCTGTTGTTGCTGTTGTTGGGGTTTTGGCAGGGGGAGGTATGGTCTTTTTGAGACAGGGTCTTCCTGTAACCCCAGCTGGCCTGGAACTCGCTGACCTCAGTTTTGGAGAGATCTGCCTGCCTCTGCCTTCTGAGTGCTGAGATCAAAGGTGTGTGCCACTATGCTCAGCACCACCACAGTGTTTTTGAGCTTCATCCACAACATAACGTAAGTCAGTATTTCATTTCTTATTATTGCTGAATAATAAAAAAGTAGATGTCTAAACTTAGGAATTTATAAATATATATCCTGATCTTCCCACAAACAAATAAAAGCATAGCTTTTTCCTTGGAGACTGGAGGGTGCATAGGTGTTTACATAGTAACTTACGAATCAGGCCTGCCTTCGGGAGGGCAGTCTCAAGCCCCACTAGGATACCCTGGAAAGGTCCTTTTTTCAGTCAAACTTCTACTTTGTGAACCAGTTGACTCTCAGTATTTAACAACTGGAAAAACAGTAATTAGTTGTGGAGATTAGTGTTCTCTACATGGACACCAGAATAATGGTTACTTCTCACACAGGAAGAACTGAAACCAAGAAAAAAATACCACAGACACACGAACACCCCAGCTTATCTGCACACCTTGTAACAAGTTATGACCCAAACACATTATAAGACTGACCCAGTATTTTTCTGATATAAATAAGTCCTCCTTAAACCTGATCACTGGAAACAATATTCTAAATTTAAATAGAAAAAATTTTAAGTGCTATATGGAGAAAGGAACAATAGATTCGCTTTTTGTGGGGGAAGGCAGGATTAATACTCAATGTAATTTGTATTTTCTAAACAAATACTAATAGCCAGTAAAGAGAGAAATTGTGTAGGAAATATAATCCTTGTTTTAAAAAAAATCAAGAAATAACAGGGGAAAGGTAGCTCAAGATAAACATTTACCCTAGAAAATTAAGATAACGTATAATTCAAATGTAGGTCAAACCCTGTGTCAGGTGAACTGTGTTATATATTAATAAGCCCACCTTCTTGCCTGCACCACCTGGTACCTAATCTGTGTATTCAGCCTAGCCAAAGAGACAGTGCCTGTACACCAATTAGGGTTAACAATTTTTGACAGAAAAATGATAAATAAATAAATGTTCTACAGCCAGCGAAGGTGGTGCATGCCTTTAATACCAAAACTCAGGAGCAAAGGCAGGTGGATCTCTAAGCTCTAGGCCAACCTGGTCTACATATAGTGAGTTCTAGGCCAGTTGGGGCTACAAGGACACCCTGACGCAAAAAAAAAAAAAAAATTATATATATATAATGTTTCCTAGTTTTCCTGCTGTCCAAACAATTACTTTTAACCTGTTTATTTGGTTCTTTGCTTTGCTTCCATAAGTCAGATTTAAATTATCATTTAATTTTTTGAGGATTTTAAACTTGATCTGTTGACCTCTCAGTGTGAATGAGGATAAGGAAGATTCAACTATCTTACACAATCATCTTCAACACAGCACATGTATTTCTGGACCCTTCCCTACCTCCTGTTCACATCTGAAATTGATGATTTTGAGCTTTAGTCAAATAGCTAGTCTGTGTTCATGTTATTGTGCATGTGTCTGCACAGGTGTATGTGCTCGATTCACAGGGGAGCTGTGCACTGTGCATTAATCTCTCTCCTTCCTTATACTTTTTAAAAAATGTATATCTTTTATTGAGTTTTTATGCATTTCATATAATGGATCTTAATCAAATTTAGACCCCCCTCTCCCATCTGCACCCCCTCATGTGTCCTCCCACATATATGACTTCTGTCATATATGTTAAGGCCTATCCAGTCAGGCATTTGTACCCAGATGTCCCTTGGTTCAAATTCATCCACTGGAGTCTAGTCAGCCTGTCTAGAGTCACTCCCCTAAAGAAAATCTACTCTTCCTCACCCTGCAGTAATTAGTGGCCAATCATTCCTGGGCTAAGGTTGGGGCCTGCTCCCATTTCCCCAGTTCTATGCTGGGTTTTTGTCTGATTGAATCAGCATGGGTCTTGTGCATGCTGTCACCATTTCTATAAGTTCATATGAGCAAGTTCCCAGAGGCCTGAAAGCCTCTGTTTCCTTATGTTTATTCACCAACCCTGGCTCTTATAATCTTTCCACCCTTCTTTTGCAATGATCCCTGAGCCGTGAGTGGGTGAGTTCTATCCAGGGACACACACTCTTCAGTCTCTTATTCTCAAAAATGTGGCCAGTTGTGGCCTTCTGTGTACATTGCACTTTGTTGTATGAGGAAGCATGAAACTTGAGGGATGTGTTAGCATTCTCTTTACCCCCTGTTCCATTATGAGCCTTAGGTGTAGAGGTTCCAATGTAGATGTGTCACTTAAGGCTGGGCATCTCTCAGACATATATTCTCTATCTGTGACCAGTTGTGGAACTCTGGTAGCCTCCATCTGTTTCAAAAATAACTTTGATGAGTGGTGTATGGTACACTTGTCTGTATCCATATTTAGGATCCATATTTAGCATATAGTAAGGAACTTCATTTGTCTAGAGATTTGGCAGAGATAGTTTTCTCTAGGATCTGTGACCTCTCCAGCCATATTATATTTGGCTATTTTTACAGTGCCACCCATGAATTCCCTCCCATTGATTTAGGTCCTATTAAATAGCTGTTGATTACGTCCTAGATAAAAGTGCCATGACTGCACCAATAGAGATAGTTTGCTGTGCCAGTCATTGTGATTATTAGGTTTTACAGCTGGGTTGGATCATTAATTGATTTTCTCCCTTAGTGGCTTGTATAGTATCCTCTAGAACTATGAGAGCTAGTCTTCAGGGAGCAGGCTTCCAGGTCAGTTTAGCTCCATTCCTCCAAGTCCAATGTCCAAAGTATGCCATCTTCAGCAATAGGATCTTACCTTTAAGTTCTTGCTATATTTTCCTCCCCTTTCTCTTTGTTCATGTGGCATGTGGCTATGTGAAAGTCATTTGTGTAGGGTTTGGAGTGGGAGGGAAATTATATGTATATCATGTATTTTCTATTTTTCTAATTACTAAGGATTGAGCTTAGGGATTCAGGCATACTAGACAAGCTGTCTACCACTGATTTATATCCTTATCCCTATTCTTGCTCTTTCACAGTTTTCCAAGGCTGGTCTTGAATAGCAGTTACAGTGTAGCCTAGACAGGTTTTTAGCTTGTCATCTCACCTCAGGTTCCCCAGTAACTGGAATTACAGACCTGCACCACATGCCCAGCTAGTCTTCCGTTTTTAACCAGTTTCTTTTTGTTTCACTTGACTTGAATGGCCTTCTCTGTGTATATTATCTTAAATCACAGAAATTCTAGCCAATGTTAGAATGAAACATAAAACCAGTTTGAATATGGTGAATATAAACAGATTTTAGAAAATCCTTTCCTTTATCCAGGTATTGAACAGTGTTTGTTCTGAGTGTTTGTGTAGTTGTTAATTGTCTTGCATCTAAACAGAAAGTCATTTTCCTATATTTCTGTAATTTTTTTTCAGAATTTCAGATTTTGAAAAGAAAGCAAATGATCATTCTGAGATTGAGACCCAGACAGAGAGGAATACAGGAAATGAGAATGGAGAGGAGAAAGCTCCAGAAAGTGTGGGTACCAGAACTCTAAGATACTACCCCCCTGGCATGGGTGATATAGCTGCCGAATTCAAGTCTTATGTTGTGGTATTTGCTTTAGAAATGTAAGAATTTTTATTTTACGTGTATGAGTGTATTGTTTGCATGTATGTAAGTGCACCCATGTTGTGCAATTGCCTGCAGAGGTCAGAAGAGGGTGTCAGATCCCCTGGAACTGGAGTTAAGGATGGTTATTAGTCACCATGTGGGTGTTGGGAACTGAACCCAGATCCTCTGCAAGAACAGTAAGTGCTCTTAACCACTGAGCCATCTCTCCAGCCCCAGAAATGTAAATTTTTTATACTGAATATTTTCTGTTTCTGTCATATTTACTTATCCTGGGTTTGAACTCCATGTCAATTATAATAAGATGAATTCCAATATGTATTGCATATAAACCACTCTCATATCTTCTTGACCAAGTTCACCCTCTGAATCCTTAAGTCAACAAGCCACCAAATGAAAGGAGAATTTTGATTACTTCATAATGAGATCCTTTGAGGATATGATGCAGAAACTTAAAAGAATTGAAAGATCTTGGTTCTGTCTCACTATTAGTAGGAACAAAGCACTTGGCATAAAAACAATGTTCCTAAGATATATATTCAGTCTTGGGTGTAACTTGGAGATATGCCTTTGAAGCCTGAAGAGTCTTTTAAGTTTAGGGAAAGTTCATGAAACTAGGAAAAAGAGAAAGGGAGAGAGAAAAAAACTGAAATGAAGAGAATACCAATATATAACTATACTGTTGACTAAAATGAACAACCTAGAATGGAAAGCTGTTAAGGCTTCTGAGCCATTGTAAAACACATGTACAAGTTGGCAGTCCACAGGCCTGAAGGCTGTAGAACAGAAATGGTTATGTAAAGTAGAAGTATAGATTGGCAAGGCAACATGATGACTGAACCTTTCAACTGATGAAGAGACTGCACTTCGACACCTCTGGAATCCCTGAACCATGAGTACGATCAATTTTAGTAACTGTAAATTCATTATCACAGCTTAATACACTATAAGAAAACAGAAGAGTACCCAAAACATTTCTTTTCATGCGAGGCATTTGGAGTAGTACTTGCCCAAAGTAAGTGAATTTGGGGAATCATTCTTAACTGGATTCCAGTGGCTCAGACTGTTTTCACATAAGGTTCATTTTATCTCTGATCATAATCTCATGTGAATGTCTGGCATTTCCTGTGTGCTAGGTTGGCAGTGAAGTGCAAACATTGAATGTTCAGGTGACCTCTCTGTTTAAGGAGCTTCAAGAGGCTCATACCAAACTCAGTGAAGCTGAGCTAATGAAGAAGAGACTTCAAGAAAAGTAAGAATGTGACATTAATTTTATCCTCGTGTGGAAATTACACATTTGACCAGTACGTTACTTTATCAAAACATAGTTTGTTACTGTGTTACTGACTAAAAGAAAAATAGAGATCTAACTGAAACAAGAATTGAGAAAACATCAAATGTTTTCATGTTAAATTGTTGTAAATTTGGGCATGGGGACCACAGAGGACTTTGATTCTGTTCTTAAGTATACCAGCCTATGTGACCATTGGACAGAGCTACAAGTCACATTTCCTGTGACTGATTTCATCTGAAATCGTTGGTGAAAAAACATAAAATAAAGCTGAAATGAGCACAAAGAATTAACGAGGCTTTTTAAGAAAAAGGCCTATTCCAATCAACTGTTCCAATCAGTTATTAAAACTAACATAAATTGAGAATTTGTTATTTGCTTGTTTTTCTTGATTTAAGAAGCCATCCAAGGACGGTGGGTGTAGCTAATTGGAAGAGTACTTGCCTAGAATGTGCAAAGCCAGAAGACTCAGTGGGTAAAGGCATTTGTTGCCAAGCCTGACAACCTGAGATCAGTCGCCATGGAAAGATGGAACTGATTCCCCCAGGTTCTCCTCTGATTTCTATACACATGACCAACACACATAAAATGCAAGACAAATACATTTTTTAAAAATATGAGTTAGGTAAAGCATAGCAAAACAAAGTTAAAGTAAGCTGATGTGACACTGGGCAAGTGGCTTAACCTCACTGAGCCTCGGCTTTGTCATAATTCCTACAACACGCATAGTATCATATGAAATATTGACTGTGTGGTATACCAGGGGCTCAGACTGTTTTCTCATGCAACGTTCATTTCATCTCATGTGGATGTCTGGCATTTCCTGTGTAACAGGTTGGAGGGGAAGTAGAAACATGGAATGTTGACTTCTGTATTTAAGGAGCTTCAAGAGGCTCATACAGAACTGGTTTTGCTGTTATCCCACTGAAATTCCCATTCTGATTTTAAGAGAAGCTTGGGGGAAGGGCTGGGCATGGCGGCTTGCTCCTTTAGTTCCAGCACTGAGAGGCAGAGGCAGGCAGACCTCTGTGAATTTGAGGCCAGGCTGGTCTACATACAGAGTTCCAGGTCAGCCAGGGATACATAGTGAGACCACCTCTCAAAAATAAGAGAGAGGAAGAGAGAAAGAAGTTGGGGCAGAAGGGAGGCTTTCTTTTCATTTTACTGACTCTTTGTCAGAAATTCAAGTCTTTATAACTACAATTTTTTTTAAATTACAGAAGGTTCTCAGGGATTATGCCCTGAGATTTATCTTCAACCAATTACCATTTTGGTCAGTGTTTAAAATATGGCCATGTCTAGTTAAGAAACCGAGAGGGAAGAGACACCAGAAAGCAAACAAATGAAAGAGAATAAAATGTTCTCTTTTGGTTTCATAAATCCTGTAGACCTAAAATGTTCTGTGTTTTATGCCTCCTGAGGATTTGTACAAAACCACCGTGAAGTGACAGAGCATTGTTTATCCTCATAGAATATTCATCCTTCTTAGGTGTCAGACTCTGGAAAGGAAAATCTCTGCAACTCCATCAGAGTTAAATGAAAAGCAAGAGCTTGTTTATAATAACAAGAAGTTAGAACTTCAAGTGGAGAGCATGCGATCAGACATCAAGATGGAGCAAGCTAAAACAGAAGACCAGAAGTGAGTGCACAGGGAACGAACAGCCGCTTGCCCCAAAGGGAAAAGACAGATTGGAATTAGGAGTTGGGAATCACTTTATAAGATTTTCTTTCGGGGACTGGAGAGATGGCTCAATGGTTAAGAGCACTGGCTGTTCTTGCAGAAGACCTAGGTTTGAATCCCAGCACCCACATGGCAGCTAACAACCGTTCATTACTCCAGTTCCAGGGGATCTGAAACCCTCTTCTGTTCTCCATGGGCACCGCATGACACGGGTGCATTTACACACATGCAGGCATAACACTCATACACATAAAATAAAAATACATAATGTTTTAAATTTGAAAAAATAAAATAATAGTATTTTTAAAAAAAAAGATTTTTCAGGCTGGAGAGATGGCTCCATAGTTAAGAATACTGACTGTTCTTGCAGAAGACCACCCACATGGCAGCTTACAACTGTCTGTAACTCCAGTTCCAGGGGATCTGACGGCCTCTTCTGTCCTCCGCAGACATTGCACGACATGGGTGCACTTACCTACATGGAGGCAATACAACATACACATAAAAAATTAAAAATAATAAATAAAATATTTTTTAAAAAAGAAAAGTTTTCCTTTTGGGGCCTGAAGTGATGGCTCAGCAATTAAGAGCACTGACTGCTCTTGTGGAGGACCCAGGTTCAGTTCCAGGACCCACATGGTGGCTAATAACTGTCCATAACTCCAGTTCAGGGGATCCAACTCCCTCTTCTGGCCTCTGTGGGCATTGCATGACATGCAGTGCACTTACCTGCATACAGGCAAAACAGTCACACACATAAAAGTAAATTTTAATTTTTTTATTTCCTTTTTTATTTGAAAGAGTTGTAGGAGACCTTTGAAGAATAAAATGTTAGAGTTGTGTCATAACAAAAATATGAAAATACTTGTATTCTGTATTTTGGGAGGAAGATAGTCTTTTGGAAGATATAAGAAAAACACTAATAGGTGGTAGAATGCTAAAAGTAGAGATTTTTCTACTTGAGTTTTCAGAGGATGTTTGGGAGGCAAGAGGATACTGTGGTATTTCCCCAAGGATTCCATTTTTAATATCTTTTTTAATAGATCCAGGCTAGCCATTCTGCAGTCAACCCACAGCAAGCTTCTTCAAGAGCATAATAATGCACTGAAAATGATTGAGGAACTAACCAAAAAACAGGTATTTACAGAGAAAAAAACAGCACTCCCACAGCTGGGTGAAATAGAAACTATTGAACACTGTACATATAAAAAGTTGCATGAACTCTTAACTAAGTCTGGTTTCAAAAGTTGTTTTGCAATTTATCAGTTTATTTATGGAGCCCAAATTCTTATCACTTCTCATGCTCTTCACACGTATAATGCATTTTGTGTGTTGAAACAATCTGGTGTCTACCAGTCAGGAAATGGGCTTTTCCTCCTTCTCAGGGTAGGTTTGTGGGAGAGCTGAAAGCATAGGCTCCTGTGTGAATGGTGTACAGTGAGACAGCTGACTGTGGCCATCTGCTACATGGAATTGTACAAGGGCAGCTTACCTGTTGGCAATGAACTAGGGACTGTGGACTCATCAGCAGGTAATTTAAGTGAGTGATAATGCCCAGCATGGTGTGAAACCTACAGACCATGGACTCTTTGAATTGGGTCTTTCAATTTATATCCTTATAAATATGTTCTGTGTCCTGTCTCCTTCATCCCTTCCTCCTTCCTTCCTATACTGGAGAATAGACCCTAGGGCCTTCTGCATGCTAGGCAAATATTTTCCTACTGAGCTACATCCCCATCCCCTGTCTTTTTCTTATTTATTTATTTATTTATTTTTTATTTTATGTGTATGAGTGTTTTGCCTGTATGTGTGTAAGTGCATGCATTGTCATGCAATGCCAGTGAAGGTCAGAAGACGGTGTCAGAGCCCCTGGAACTGAAGTTATGAACAGTTGTTAGCAGCCATGTGGGTGCTGGGACTTGAACCCAGGTCTTCTGCAAGAACAACCAGTACTCTTAACCACTGAGCCATCTCTCCAGCCCCCCTTTTCTTCTGTTATTGTGAGACAGGGTCTCACAAAGTTATCTGAACAGACCTTGAATTGGCAGTCCTACTGCCTCAATCTCCTGAATAGTTGAGATTACAGGCCTATTCCATGAGCCCTGTTTTTCTTGTTTGTTTTGTTTTCTGTTTATGTATGTGCATTGTGAGAGTGTGTGAGTGAGTGTGTGTGTGTGTGTGTGTGTGTGTGTAGTGTATATATGTGGGCACGTTATTGTGTCTATTGCACATATATGTGCATGTGAAGGCTAGAAGTTGATATTGGGTATCTTCCTCTCTCTACCTCATTTTTTTAATGATTTAATTTTAAATTTAAAAAAATGTTTTACTTATTTTTATTTTATGTGTATGCGTGTATTGCTTGCATGTAGGTAAGTGCACCCTTGCCGTACAATGCCCACAGAGGACAGAAGAGACTGTTGGATCCCCTGGGACTGGAGTTACAGACAGTTTAGGTGCCATGTGGGTGCTGGGATTCAAACCCTGGTCTTCTGCAAGAACAACCAGTGTTGTTAACCACTGAGCCATTTCTCCAGCCCTAATTTTTAAATTTTTATGTGTATGAGTATATTGCCTGAATGTATGTAAGTGCACCCATGTTGTCCAATACCCACGGATATCAGAAGAGGGCATCAAATCCTCTGCAATTGGAGTTACAGATGGTTGTTAGTAGCCCTGTGGGTGCTGGGAGTCAAGCCTGGGTCTTCTGCAAAAGCAGCCAGTGCTCTTAACTGCTGAACCATCTCTCAAGCCCCCTTATTTTTGAGACAGGCTTTCTTATTGAACCAGGAACTCACCAACTGGCTAGACTGGCTGACTAGTAAGCCCTAAGGGTATACCTGTCTCTGCTTCCCAACCAAGCACTAGGGTTGCAGTCAAAAGCTATCACATCTAACTTTTACATGGGTGCTGGGGATCCAAACTCAAGTCCTCATGCTTGCACAGCAGGCACTTTACCAACAGAAACACCTCTCAGTCTGTTGTTCTTTCTTTTCTCTAAAATAGAATATTTGGGAGCTGGAGAGACTTGGCAGCCAAGAGGTCCTGGGTTTGGTTCCCAGTGGGTGTTAGCACCCAAATGGCAGCTAACAACTATCTGTAACTTTAGTTCCAGGAGATCCAACACCCTCTTTTGGCCTCCATGGGCATTGTGCACTCAGGTGCACTTAACATGCATGCAAGCAAAACATTCATAAACATAATAAATAAAAATAATTTTAAAAAAGAAAAAATAAACCAAGTAGCACATGCCTTAATCCCAGCCCTGGGGAGGTAGAGACTGGCTCTGTGAGATGGAAGCCAGCCTATTCTACATAGTGAGTTCCAGGCCATCAGGGGCTACAGGGAGACCCTGTCTCAGAAAAACCAAAAAAAAATTTTTTTATTTAAATTTAAAAATAAAAATAAAAAATTTGGGCCTGGAGAGATGGCTCAGCAATTAAGAATACTGGCTGTTCCTACAGAAGACCCAGGTTTGATCCCAGCACCCACTTGGCAGCTAACAACCATCTGTAATTCCAATTCTAGGGGATCTGACATCCTCTTCTGATCTCCATCAGCATTGCACAACATGGGTACACTTAAATACATGTGGGCGTAACACTCATACACATAAAATAAAAATTAAATTTAAAAAAGTAGAATGTTTTTTCCTCTTTTGGACCTAATAGACTTTTTTGTTTTGTTTTGTTTTTCTTTGTTTTTGTTTTATTTTGCGACAGGGTCTAAGTATGTAGCCCTGACTACCTGGAGCTTGGTATGTAGACCAGGCTGGCCTAGACCTCACAGAGATCTGCCTTCCTCTGCCTTCCCAGTGCTGGGATTAAAGGCGTGCACCCAAAAAGGACCTCATAACTTTACATTTTAAGCATGTTTACAAAGTAACTTGTAAGGAAAGATAACAGTATCCATGGCTCATAGTTTCATGAGGTTGGGGGTTGTTATTTTCCTTTTCCAGTGTAATTTTTTGTACTAATCCAAGTTTACATGAAGCTGTTTTCATGCAAGTGTATGATACACTTTGAGCGCACTCGTCCATATCCCACTCTACCTTCTCCCTGCTTCCCTCTCATTAGTGTCCTCTGTTCCCCAGACAGTTTGGCTTCTACTTTCATGTCATTAGTACATATATAACTTTATGCATATGTATTATCTAGGAGCCACAAATGGGGGAAACGGTGTTTTTGTCTTTCCTTAATTTGTTTAATATGATCATCTCCAGCAGTGTCCATTTTCCTGCGACCAACATCACTTCATTCTGTATGGCTGAAAGAATTATGTGCTATACATAAACCCCATTTTCTTTATCCATTCTTCTTATTTGACTTCTTATTTAACTTACCTACTTTCAGTGGTATCTTTTTAATATGTTGTGTTAAATGAGATTATTATTTGCAAGTCATAAGTTCAATAAATACAACTTTCTGAATGAATTACCACTGCTAAATAACAGACAAGAACTAATAATTTTTAAAAGATAAACTTTCCATATTTTACTAAAATAGGCTGCATCATTTCAAAGCCATTTCTAGAATCAGGTGTCTTTTCCAGACAGAAAGTGTGGAAAACGCAGTGCTGCAAGAACTAAATGAAAAACTGGAGCTGGCAGAGCAGGCTCTGGCTTCCAAGCAGCTTCAGATGGATGAGATGAAACAGACGATTGCCAAGCAGGAGGAGGACCTGGAAACCATGACTGTCCTCAGGGCTCAGGTGAGATATGGTCCAGGATGTGAGCTGAGTGAGGGCAGTCCTGGTTAGATTTTCAAGTACAGAAGTAATGGTGCTTAACAAATGCAATGCTTATTTTATATTCTTTGTTTCAACCACTGAATTTTTTTAACTTTTTTTTTTTTGCTTTGAAGAGTTACATTTTTATCATTATTTTTTAAATTTTTAATAACTACATGATTAAAAGAAGCATTTCACTACAGCTTTAACATATTCAGTAACAAACTCCAGAGCAAGTGGGTGCAAGTGGGTGCAACTTTCTAGGTTCACAGTTGGATTAATACAGTTATACAATATTGAACTCAGTTTAAGCCCTGTAAGACATAAAATTGGATGGGTTTTTAACCTTTAAAAAAGATCTCCATTTCATTTTAGAATATATTGTTCCTTGCAGAAAGACTCATTGTTTTGGCTACTAACACTGAGATGTTGGCGCATGCATCTAATCTGTATGTGTCTGATTATTACTAGTCATAATCGGTTGCACTTGGATCCTTGGCGCCTGTGTATGTCTATAAAGTCATCGGGTAGATTTCAGTGGCAATGTTTATGAAGCCAGGCATGGTGGTATATGCCTGTGATCCCAACACTTGAGAAGTAGAGGCAGGAGAATCACAAGTTCAAGACCAGCCTCAGCTACATAGCAAATTTGAGGTCAACCTAGGAGACTATATGAAACTTTGTCTCAAAACAAAACAGCCTTTTAAATTTAAGCATGTGCAAAATATACTAAATTTTTAAGTGCACAAATCAATAAATTCTATCTGTTGATAGATCTCTTCCAGTTTGTGACAAGACCTGTCTGTGGCTACACACCTTGCTGGTTTATGGGCTCTGCATACACCTCCATTTAATGGGTAAAGGGTTTTCCAAATTGTACCAATATGCACTTCTATCAAGGCCTGCCATGCTACCCACATTTGTATTATCAGTCATTTTACTTTCAGCCATTCTGGGTCTGCAATGGGATCTCATCTAATTTACATTTCAGTAATGAGACTGAATGCTTTGCCTTAATGTTTATTGGCCAGGAAGTCTAAGTGTCTTTTATAATGTGTGTGATCAAGTCTTTGCCTATTTCTCTATAGTTCTGCTTGACTTTTTCTTGGCTCACAACTGCCTGTACCTCTAGCTCCAGGGGATGTAACATTCTCTTCTGGCCTCTGTAGGCACCTGGACATATACATAAAGATAGCTAATAAATCAGTAAAAGATATCAAAAACTTGACATAGATGTGACGGCACTTATCTGTAATCTCAGAATTCAGAAGGCAGAGGCAAAGGGATCCCCACAGATTTAAAGCAAATCTGGTATACATACTGAATTCCAAGCTACCAGGACTACATAATGAGATCTTGTCTCAAAAAAAAAAAAATGAAGATGAAAGTTAAGAATTGGTATTAAAACAATGTTCAGTTCACTTTATTTCACTATGAAATTGTTTGATTTTGTTATAATTTGGTAACAATGAAGAAATTATTTTCATGATATATTAGTTGTCTATTCTGTGTGGCAGACTACTCCCACAGCATAACAGCATAACAAAAATAAACCTCTGCTGTCACATTTTGGTTTCTGTGGGTCAGGAGCTGCTTAGCACAGGGGTCTGGCTCCAAGTCTCTCATGAGGCTGCATTCAAAATAGACTGGACAAGCCATTTCCAAGATGCCTCATCGACATGGCTGTCAGGAGGTCTCTGTCCTCGCTGCGTGAGCCTCCTGGGAGGGCTGTTCATGGCGTGCAGCTGGCCTTCTCCACAGCAGGGGATACAGAAGAGAGCAAGGCGTGCACCACAGCCCTTCATGATCTAGTCCCAGAAGCCACCCGTCACCCTCTGTAGCATCCCAGTAGTTAAACAGACTGACTCTGACTCTGTTGTGGGAACAGACCACAGAAGGGCTTGAATACCAGGAGGTAAAGATCACAGAAGCCATCTCGGAGGCTGGTGACCCAACAGGCACAGAAAGTGGCTTGATACATGTAAGAGTCCATGGAAAACAGACTTCAATCTGGGTTCAAATGCTGAACTAGCCACTGAACAATTTCGTAAAATATTTTATTGTTTTTATTTTATATGTATGAGTGTATTCCCTGCATGTGTGTAAGTACACCTGTATCATGAAATGCCTGCAGAGGTTGGAAGAGAGCATTGGATCCCCTGGAACTAGAGTTACTGATGGTTGTTAGCCTCCATGTAGGTTCTGGGATCCAAACTTGGGTCCTCTGCAAGAGCAGTCAGTGCTCTTAAACACTGAGCCATGGCTCCAGTCCCCTCAATAAATTTTTGTTTCTTTTTTTTTTTTTTTTTTTTTGAAAAATTTTTCCCCGGCTTGTCTAAAACTTGAAATTTTCCTCCCTCCCCCCTTTGCCAGGCTAGTCTAAAACTTGAAATCTTCCTACCTCAGCCTCTTTAATACCGAGATTACAGGTTGTGCCACCATGCTCTGCTGACAGATTTTCCTAAGACCTCATTTGTAAAATTATGAGAGGTTTAAGTTTCCGGGACTCTTTTTAGACAGGGTCTTGCTGTGTATCCCAGGTTAGTCCTGAACATATACATGATCTTCCTGCCTCCGCCTCCCAAGTACTGACTCCCAGGACTTCTGAGTAGGTGAAATAAACACCCAAATGTAAGACTCTTCACACATGTGTAGAATTCAATAAATAACATCTATTTATTTATTTCTCTTTTAAATTTAGCTTAAGACCAACATTCTGGTAAACGATTTACTGAATTTTTATTCCTGAATACTATTTTTTTAAGAGGCTAGAATATTTTCATGCATTCCTTAAGCTATCTGTAATCAGTGCTGTTTTTTTATATTTGTGTGTGTTAAGAGTGTTTTGCCTCCATTCATGTAAGTGCACCACATGTGTGCATTCCCTGGAACTGGAGTTACAAGCAGGTGTAAACCACCATAGGGGTGCTAGGAACAGAACCTGGGTTCACCCCCAAAACAGCAAATGCTTCTGGGCTTGGTGGTTCACACCTTTAATTCCAGTGCTGGGGAGGCAGAGGCAGGTGAATGTGAGTTCAAGGCCAGCCTTGTCTACGTAGCGAGCTGGGGCTACAGGGAGACAGGGCTCTGTCTCTTAAAAAAAAAAAAAAGAGGAAATGCTTTTAACTGCTGAGCCATCTCTCCAACCCCAGTTTAGGGGTTGTTGTTTAAAGCATTCACATACACAACTTGTACCTAGGGTTTGGATGTAGTTGGGAAAAAAAAAAAAAAGGAAAGAAAGAAACTGTGGTTATTGCACTGGTTTGCAGCAGCAGAAGTCTCTATCTCTCATTCCCAAAGCCTGTCTACAGATGCAGGCCTGTCTCCTAACCTTAGAGACAGCTGAGCTGCAGAGAATCTGTGTTCTTCTCCACAATAACTTTTTACCTTTTTCTCTAACAGATGGAGGTGTACTGTTCAGATTTTCATGCTGAAAGAGCAGCAAGAGAGAAGATTCATGAAGAAAAGGAGCAACTGGCCTTGCAGTTGGCAATTTTGCTCAAAGAGAACAATGATTTTGAAGATGGAGGCAGGTAAGGTAAAGAAAGAGGAAGAATTGGCACACAGGTCAGCTTGGACCCTAGAACAGGTGTGCTGTGGAAGTATTTCCTCATTTGCAAGTGAGAGTCACTCTACCTATACTTTATTTGTTGTGTTCCATCATTTCGTTCAGCTTACAATAAAGCTTGACAGAGACTTAGAGAAACCTGCTCAGCTTCTTTGCTTTGAAATAAGCTGTAAAAATATAACATTATGTGTCCCATTGTCTTATCTGGCTTTAAATTGTCTGTTTTAAAAGAAAATACTTATGGGGTTGGAGAGTTGGCTCAGCAGTTAAGAACACTGGTTGCTCTTGCAAAGAACCTGGGTTCAATTCCCAGTTCCCAGTTCCAAGGGATCCAGTGCCCTCTTTTGACCTCTCAGGCACTGCACAACCTATACACATGCAGGCAGAATACTCATATACATAAATATATATGTACACATATATATGTAAATAAAAGAAAATACTTATAAAAATTCTGGCTTTTAATGCCGAACATGGTGGCACATGTCTTTAATCCCAGTACCTAGGAGGCAGAGGCAAGAGGATCATTGTGAGTTCAAGGCCAGCCTGGTCTACATAGCGAGTTCCAGGCCTGCTGGGGCTACAGGGAGATACTTATCTCAAAAAGACAAAAACAAAAAAAAAACTGGCTTTAAAAGTTATTTTTCTATTTGGTTTTGCTTTTTCAAACAAGGTCTTACCCTGTAACACAGACAGACCTAAACTCACTCTGTCCCACAGGTTGGCCTCACACTTGTGATCCTCCTACCTCAGCCTCTGGAGTGCTGCTGGGATTACAGGTATGTGCCACTATGTCTGGCTCAAAATTATTTTGAGAAGGTTTTAAAATATATTAAGTAGGGGGCTGGAGAGATGACTCATCTGTTAAGAACACTGGCTGCTCTTGCAGAGGACCCGGGTTTGATTCTTAGCACTCACATAATGGCTAACAACTATCCATAACAACAGTTCTGTGGGATCCGACACCCTCTTCTGACCTCTGTGGGCATTGCATGACATGGGTGCACTTACATACACGCAGGCATAACAGTCATGCACATAAAGTAAAAATAATAAAATATTAAAAATATATAAAGTGGGGCTGGAGAGATGGCTCAGCAGATAAGAACACTGTTCTTGCAGAAGACCCGGGTTCGAATCCCAGCACTTACATGGCAGCTAACAACTGTCCGTAACTCCAGTTCCAGGGGATCTGACAGTCTCTCCTGTCCCCCACAGGAATTGCATGACACGGGTGCACTTACCTACAATCAGGCAATACACACATACATAGGAAACGAAATAAAGAAAACGAAAAATATATAAAGTAAAAAAGATAAAATAACACACAGCAGTTTGTATACCATTCTGAATTAACTAATGTTCTTTATTTGCTTTTTCAAAGCAA